AGATTTAAACTAGAGGGCTATCACTTTGTGCAGCAACGCTATTGACAAATAAATCCAGCAAAATGGCACAAAAAACTGGTAGTGGCCTCAGGGACGAGGAGTCATTTAACCAGCCAGTAGGAGTCAAGCTTTACTTTCTTTTATATCCATAAAGAAAAAGTAAATCTGTTTACAGTTGTTTCATTATGGATGTTGAGAGGTATCCATATATCTCTTCATTTTGCTCTCAAAGTGCACCAGATTGATGCATCTAACTTCAATATTTTAAAAAAAATGTTCCCGGGGGAGTATGCCCCCGGACCCCCCTAGACTAGAGGGTGTCAGGTCCACTCCCCACTTATAAAAATAGCACTTTACCACTGCACCCCCTCTAATCTCAGATGCACCCTGAGTCATTTTGTTTAAGTACAGTGAGCCTTTCTAAAATATACAGTAAAGAGACAAACCCACCAGCATTATAGGATATACTATGACTTTGTGCCAAATACTTGTTGCTGATTTAGAGTACTGGCACCTTTTTTATTTCAATTCAAGCACTGACTAAAGGTATCAAATACATGTTGTGGAGTAAAGTACAACATTCACCTTTGAATTGTAGTAGAGTAGAAGTACAAAGTAGCATACAATGAGAATACTCAAGTAAAGTAAGAGTATCTCAAAATTGTACTTGAGTACAGAGTAAATGTACTTACTGAACAACACTGGTTTCTTCTTTACTAGGTTGCATTGTTCTATTGTCTCACATAATACTCTTAAGTAAAAAAACCGTCTTATTTATATATATTTTTGTCTTTCATTTATTTTCATTGATATTGAGGTTAACCAAAAGTAACGGAAAGTAATCAGGTTACATTCCTTTTACATTTCGATACTCAGATTAGGTTACTGGTGCAATTTTTTAACAGGTAGTTAGTTATTAATTGTAACGGAATACATTTATAAAAAAAAACTCCCAACCCTTGTCGTTTGTTCCCTACCTGTTGACGATCGAGGAAATGGATCAGCCCATTTGTTGTTTCTGTTCAACTCTTAATGCGCACTCGCAGCTGCCTGTATCCATAGTGACAGTCCAACTTGTGCCGAACTCTGGGATTCTTTCAAGAACGATTTGAGCGCGTGTACGCGCAGTTCATAAAATCAACTACAATACACTGTATATAGTGAAAGACCAGTTGGACAAAAGCACTTGACGTAAATGATATGTATCTAATTGCAAGACAAACAAATTAACATTTTGAACTGAAATAAAAACCCGGAAAATTAACGTTGTGTTCATATGTTTACATACAAAATGTTCTCATTCATGTAGGCTACAACAACTTTTTATTTATCGCGACAGTTGTAATTATACAGCAGCCTGAAGACAGAGGCATGGTTCCAAAGCGCTGCGCGTTTACGCACCTCCCCCTGTGCATAAATTATGATCATTAAAAGGAAAATAAAAATAAACCACAAACCCAAAATCATTCACCACTATATTTTTATTTTGAAACATATTTTCGTTGTTGTCTTAAACATTTCATTTCTGATGCATCTGCCTTTAAGTACAAATCCATTTAAAAAAAAAAGGATACTTAAAGCTGAATGAAAGTAGCCTAATTAAAAAAGCAAAAAGCAAATTCAGGAAAAAAGTATACTTATGATATACATATTTGTTTTCAAATGTATTGTATCATTGTCATCCACCTGGTAATCCCTATTGTTTATGGAACTATATGGTAATGCATGTTATGTCTGATAATTACGTAATCCCGTTAAATGTATCTCATAGGCCTAGTATTTGTCCCTTCATCTGTAGTTAGTACGAATGAAAACGTGACACATGTTCGAGCAATATAACATTTAACCACAAGAGGGAGTAGCCTAACTTTAATTTCCACAAAATATTTAGGCTCAAATCCATTTAGTTTTGGAACCTACGGTGGCCGGCTGTGCAAACGCGGAACAATGGCCAAAAACGCATACATTAGCAGGAAACAGCTGCAAATCCTGAAATGAAAAAAAAAAGAAATCCTGAAAACATATCAAACAAAACATAACAAAAAAAACGCTGCAAATACCAAAACGAAATGCAAAGTCCAAAGCACATAGAAATCCCAAAACACATACAAAAAAAAAACATTCCGGAAGTGCTCCAGGCCTCTAGGGGCATTTTATACTAGTGTCAATTATATTAATATTAAATAACTTTTTATCAACCACTATTACATTAGGGTTAGGTTGAGGGTCAGATTATATATTTGCAAATGAATGCATTAACAAAAAACTCAAATTGGGACCTCAACATCAGTATTTAATATACCATGGCACTTATTTGACCTCTTTTTTATAACCGGTGTCAGAGTTTTAGGTTATACTTTACTTTATATTCCTCCTGCTTCACTAATGTGAACATTTTCTATCCATACATCTTTTTAAATTGGTTATTAATAAAAAATCTAGCCGGTATAATTCCAGCTAAAAGTTGTCATTTGGATACAAGTGGCTTTTATTGCCATATTTAATGATGTGTTGTGAAAACAATATAATCCGAATATTATATTAGGGCGTTGTGACATTTTTTACAGTGGGGAAAAATAAACGGTAAAGTTACATCAGAGAGACTCTCTGATGTAACTTTACCGTTTATTCTTTCCCACTGTAAAAAATGTCACAACCCCTTACTTAACGATTCAAGTGTCAATCAAGTTTTTTTGTCGACAAGCCCCGCCCTTCTCTAAATGTGAAACACGTGGCCCCGCCCCTCCTCCAATGCTCACTTATTAATAATGGGCGTTGATTTCCGGTATCTAGCGTCTGTATTTTCAGGTTCCATAGTGTGGGTTCGGTGTGTGTGATGCATGTGTGCGTTGGGCGTGTGTGAAAGAGTTTGTAGTGTGGTTGTAAACGTTCCCAGCTCGGATACTGTCACCGCCTTGCACCGCAGGCAGGCGCCGTGTTCCTACATGCAAGTTACCTTAGCGGCTCCACAATCGTTGGCCAGCAATGACCGAAAGCCCCAGCACCAAGCCAGCGAACGGGGATGTGTGTCAGCGTGTGAAGAACGGACTGAAGCCGGAGAGAAACGGCTTGGCGAAGAGCCTCTACCGCTGCCATGAGAAGAAGTCCAAGCACCACGGCCAGCCCGAGGAGGAGGTGAGGCCCGGGATTGGACGGGGAGTGGAGGCTGGTGAAGCCTGGGAGGCATCTGTTGTGTGGATCCGGAAACACCCAGACAAGCTGTCATGTTGTCATTTTTATGAACTTAGGCAATATTAGTATAACACTGTATGACAGCTTACATGTATTAACTGAGCCCTGCTCTTTATTATCTGACAGTTTGTTGTCATCGAGCTTTGCTTTTCTCGATTACCGAGCGAACGACAAATCCCGTATGAAATACTATAGTTTAAAGAGTTGTCGCCCTTTCTTAAAGTTATATTCACCCAAAAGATATTAATAAATCCATTGATCTGAATCGTTGCGATACTCTTTTCAAATCGGCAGCATCAGAATTGCATCAATTATTATCTAAATGTGTTAACATTTAAACTTTATGAGGGGTCTCGTGTTGCGTTCCACCGCCCACTCAGTTATTTTATAAGAGGGAGGTTGATTTAAAAAAAGGCGGGTGTGACAACTCCAAAACGTGACATATTGCACTGAATTTAAGTTCATAATATGTATGCCGAATTTAAGACGAGGTCTTTCTGCAGACCTCTTTCCAAATTTGATAACATATGTTCACTTGTGACGAAGATATAACCACGATTTCTAAAATAATCAAGTAGCTCATGATGCACTTACATCAGAGCTAGTCAAACAACTTGGGGCAGTTCATTTCTCTCCCTGGATGAAATCATCATTTTTAGACATAGTTCATCTTAGTAAGTAGGGTAATTGTTATGTGGTGCACACTTTAGCATATTACTTTGTGTTCTTGTTTCCGTTGCTTAACCTATAACATACTCGTCAGCATTTAGGCTCATTTGATGGTGTATATTGCACACTTCACTGGCAATACATGTTTGTAAAAGTGAGCAACTCCCTCCATAAAAAAGATGATGAGTTAGTGAATAGGGAGACTTTGAACCAATACACCTGCTGTCCATAGAGACTACATGCGTGCCTCAAAACAACATTTTCCTAGGGCGCTCGCTCATTAAAGAGCCTTAATTTAGGGTTCATATTTATATGTTGTGCCTCTACTGTGATATCCCAGTTGGCTCTGATTGGTCAGCTGAGCGGCTCTGTTGTGATTGGTCAGCTGCTCAGAGATGTCCCACCCTTAGCATATTAGGTACAATGTGTTGGAGCCTAGCCAATAGAAGCATGAGTGTTACATAGTACTGTCACTATGTTACAGAAGTAAACAAAGATTCCAATGTAGGCCTAGCAGGCAGGCGGTGGGGGGTAGTGTGTGGGAGAGAAACTCCCCCTGGAGGCAACACAAGGATTTTAGCCTTTGCAGATCATTTACATGCACAGAAAGCTATAGAACACAATACAGGAAAAGGGAAACACATGAGCTTAAATCTTGCAGCTTATTTTAATAAGCTAATAATACATTAAGTATCCTGCTTGTGAGTGAATAACTTTTTTTATTAAAATGTGTTTGCACTCCACAATGACCATAACAAAGATATTTTCAGTTACTTCAAGCCATAGTAACATGCTAAAATACTTGCATCTTCCTTGGTTGTTCTCTTCAAATCAATTCCATCTTGACATTTTGAAGCTAAATAACTGTTGACAGGTCATTGTCCTCACCAGCCATTGCAGTGCTGGGAAAACCCCCGTTTCTTCTGCTCATGTTTCAGCTAACTAGGCTGATAAAGTGGTGAGTGAACCTCAGCTGATTATTGTGCGTGCAGATGTCAGCGTTGCTACTCTGTAAGGTATTTGAGAGGGAGGCATGACTGGTCACATGCAGCGCCTAATAGCCATGAGCACCGAGACGCGCATGATGGGGAAGGCTAACTGCATCAAGTCTGAGAGTAGTGAGCTTCTGTCCAGAAAATAGACATGTGGAGTTTCTGTATGAAAGATCATATCCATGTTGAGTTTATTAATCAGTCACTCTGCTGCAAATGCACATAAAAGCATAACATCAACACAAGCTAGATCTTCCCATATTTGGAATGCAAAAGCTTTCCCCCCTGTCATTTGTCAAACAGTCTTTTCTTCCCTGTATAGTTAGTGTACAGCTGCACCAGAGCTAATACCATGTTATCTCCCCTCCACTTACAATAAGACTGCACATAAGTCACCTTTAAATGAGTTGCAGCAATCTCAGCCAACTATAACAGAAGACAAACTGTGTTTTCTCATTAGGAAAAAAGGAGAGGAAGTCACAGGATGTCAGGCTGCACATTTATATAAAGTGTATTTTAACATGAAAGGTTGAAGAGGTCTTATTATACTAATTTTCAGGTTCATATTTTTATTTTGTGCCTCTACTGTGACATGTAGATGTTCAAAAAAAGTCTTTCTTTTTATCATACTGCCTGTGCTAACTGTAATAAAAGAAATGTAGTGGAGTTAGAAGTACAATGTCCAAGTCCCCTGAATGATTGTGTAGTATAATGTTAAAAAAGCTAGTAGTACATAATTTAGTTCCACCACTGCACTGGGTCCACATAAAACCAACAGCAAACAGAATATTTAGTTTGAATACTTAATAGATAATTGTAATGATTATTCTGTCAACTTTTAAGCTTTTCTGTTGTGGGCATATTCCAACCAGAACATTTACATTTTTCAAAATCTATAATATTGTTATTTCCCAAATGAAAATAAATAGTAATAGGAACTCACAGATACTATTATTGGGAGATACATTTGATTAAAACTGGCAATTCCTATGTGCATGTCATTTATCTACAATGCTTGCTTTCCATGTCTCCAGGTCAATGCAACATCGCATCATGGCGTCCCGTACAGTCGGCCCTTTGTTGAGTCTTACGAGCAGACGCCCATGCTGCCAGCCGTCTTCACCTACATGAGCTACGGCATTCTGACCATCTTCGGCTACCTGCGAGACTTTCTCCGTTACTGGAAGATCGAAAGATGCAACATCGCCGGGGAGAAGGAGGAACAGAGGGTAGGAGAAGAACACAATATGGTGTTTAAACATACCTGATCCTTTAGTGCACAGCTTTGTATTCCTTTATGTAGCCTCCCTGACTTCCTGTTTAAAGACAAATCTGTTTTCTTTCTAGTTTGGCAATAGCAGCGTTATACATCATGAATTATATTAGAGAACATTAACTGCTACACTGCAGCCAAATGGTTATACAGCTTCCATTCTCTGTTGGTGACGGCAGGATGACGTATAAAAAGGGCCTGAAATCTCATATGGGGACATTTTGTAATGCCTTCCTGTGCATCTAACTACCTATCAATTGTGAGCTATCTGATAACCAATCTAGCCAACTTGCCTACTTTAGCTGTCTATCTTTCTAGTTAGCTAGCTAACGTTAGCTACCTATTCTCATTATTTAATACCCTATGGATAAACCTACAGTGCCCACTCTTCTAGCAGTAAGATTTCTCATAAGAACACTGTCGATATGTTCTTTTTGTTGGCAGATTGAGCCAGCTGCTCCTCGCATCGGCAGAAATGTGTGCATTCAGCACACTGTTGAATGGAAGTGATTTGCTAGGCTGAGCACGTGCTGCTTCTAGTATGGAAGTTTTCCATGCTAATGTCAAAACAACAGGGACAAAGAATGGAAAAAAACTAGACTTAATCCAATTCTTGTTTTGTTAACTTGACTGGACTAAAGTGATATTTGCATTCCACATAGTTTACCAACAGTCAAAACTACGGGGCTCTCGTATTTCACACACTGTTAGCAGCAGTTCTTAAGTGTTTGAAGAGGAAACAACACTTTGCAAACAGAACCTCAGAGCATTTGATGTGATCTTGTCAACCACAATGATATCACAAAATGGAAATTGATGATAAGATGAGCCTTTCTCTGTGTTGAAACACTATTACATTGACAGTCTAATATAACATCATAATAGTACCCCTAAATCGCTCTTTTTTTTCTTTGCAATTCAGTGGAATGTGCGCCTAAGGTTGAATTTTGTCAGTAAACAGCCAATGGCGGAGTTATCAGAACATTTGGAACACGTCCTTGACCACTGGGATTGTTTTCAACCTGTTGTGTGACTTTTGATAGTGAAGCCCATTGTTTCGACGTATTTGGTTATGTCGAGGAAAGGAAGCTAGTGAGATAGACTTGGGGAAGTCATTAGTTCCCCCCAACGGATGTTTCCACCAAGACCCAAGGAACATGAACAGTCAGCCATGTGTTTTAATGTGAAAGATCATATTCCTTCCAGCTAAGCTTTCCAAACAAAGCCTGGCATGTAGTTCTTTGATGTTACTGGTACATTTGACATTCCTACCACTTCACTGCAGTAGGTCAAGGACTTCTACAGTTATTAGCTGGAATAGATTTTCATCATCCATATCTGCAACCTTTTTTTGCCATGTCAGAGCTCTAATTCAAGTTGCTTTTAATGATATGTATAAACACTGTAATTTTAGATATCTGTAACAACATTTTGACCCGTACATTTGAACAACTTTTGCCAAGCATTTATGAGTAGCCATAATTCAGAATGAAGAAATCCTTAATTCCCTTAATTTTCCTTTAAATATATTGTATATGAAGTTTTAACTAGTCAAAATGATGTCGTAGAAAACTCAAAACTGGAATTAGAATATACATAATTCAATTGTATATTCTATCAAGTATAACATTTTATATTACATCTTTGATTAGATATACCCCACATACTAATACTGGCATATCTTTGATATTTTCATTCTTCCTGGTCGCAATGTAGTCAAACTTCAGATATCTCTCATGTTGTTTTGTCCGAATGGCCTATTGGATATGATATCTTGAATACAAATATTGTTAAGTCACAATGACATTGTAAATATCTGCAATGTTAACTATATGTCCACACTGATGCTTAGCTAATGTACCCCTCTCTCCTCCTCTTTATTCGTCCATGTGTAGGACTTTGTGCCCCTCTACCAGGATTTCGAGAACTTTTACACCAGAAACATCTACATCCGTATCAGAGACAACTGGAACCGGCCCCTATGCGGCGTGCCAGGGGCCACAATGGACTTGTTGGAGAGGACGTCCCCTGACTACAACTGGACTTTCGCGTAAGGGAAAAACAAAAACCATAGATTCCTCTCATCGATTGTTTCCTCTGTCTGATCTTCTTCTGCTCTCCCTCGCAGTCAATCAGGCCGGGTGTTGCAGGATGTGATTAACTTGGGCTCCTATAATTACCTGGGCTTCGCTGAGAACAAGGGTTCGTGTGCTGACGCTGCAGCCGAGATCACCAAGAAGTACGGCGTGGGAGTCGCGAGTACCAGACAAGAGCTTGGTACGAACACATGCCAAAATACAGACTTACCCTCCATGAGCTTTGCAATTACTGGAATACAGAAATAATGTGCAGGGGTGAAATCACTACTTTAAATAAAGCATTATGAAGCAGTCTGTTTTGATACTAACCATATAAATACCTAGAGTTTAAGGGGAAATATATCTTTGTTTTATTTATATCGCACAACAAATATTGATTTTCATTGAAGAGGACACATTATGCTTGTTTTCAGGTTCATATATCAGTATTTAGTGTCTCTACTGGGACATGTCTCCATGCTTTAATGTTCAAAAAGCTCTTTATTTTTCTCATACTGCCTGTGCTGCAGCACCTCTTTTCACCCTCTGTCTGAAACCAGAGCCCAGTCTGCTCTGATTGGTTAGCTGGCCGGCTCTGTTGTGATGGGTCAACCCCTTAGAGATAGATAGATACTGTAGACCAGGTGTCGGCAACCCCTGGCACGCGTGCCAGCATTGCCGTAACCAGTGCCGTAACCAGTGGCACACTAGGAATAAGTGGAATAAGTGTGCAATAATATTTAAATTGTATTTTCGGATCCTGAACGAGACCGCCACCAGAGCGCGTCTACCTGCAGAAGGAAGCCATGCACGCAACGCAGCCCCGCTGACTTTCTGCCGCTTTCCTCCGTGGTGCAGTGCTGATCGTTTCACCACAGAGGAAAGCACTTCACAAATTGCAGTACCCATAAGGAGCTGTACAAATTCCGCAGTTTTTGTGTGACTGTGTCTTTAGTTTAAAGCCCAGTGGCGATCTGCTCATCGAAATAATATGCTACAAAGGGGCGGACTGGCCATCTGTGTGTTGAACTTTCCTGTCGGCTCCCAGACCGTAGTCGAGGAGGGCAGAAGCAACAAGCTTCAGGTTCAATAACCCACTTTAGCTTAAATGACTGGAGAGAGGCGAGCTCTTCTTGGGAGGCCGTTGCATTTATTTAGCTGTTCTTCTGTTTCACAAAATACATCACAGACCTCTGTTTTTCTGCTGCCTCGTTTCACTTCCAGAAACATACACACGTTCCCCCCTCACTGTCGCTCTGCCATCACACACACACATGCACAAGCCACACCCCTCTCTCTCTCTCTCTTAAAGGGACAGCGATCTCATCTCAGTCTGCATGACCCTAATATCATAACATGTGTGTTCTGGAGAATCACAGAACGGACGATCGTCCTTATTATTATGCCGTTTAAACCAATTATTTAAATGTGTTTATTAAATTCGACATCATGTAAGTTGCGCTGACAGGTCCACACACTGCTTCCCCATAGCGAGGCTCCCCCCGCCCTCCTGCTGATAGTTCACGAGCGTCAAGCTCCTCTACCCCCCCTCCCCCCCCGTTGATAATTCTCGATCGTTGGCACGCTGATAATTTTATTTTTTTTAAATGGCACTTCATATCAAAAAGGTTGCCGACCCCTGCTTTACACAGTGAATAAAGCTGCAATGATAAGTCAATCAACATAAATGTAGTGTCTAATCATTAAGATAAGGGTGGATAATGGATAAGGCTTTTTCACCCTTTCAAATATGTCATTTGCTACTTTTCTCTGTCTTATTTCATATTGAGGTATAACATCTTTGTTTATTGCGTTAACAATACAATATATATAATGACATAGGCTTGAACTATGAGAAACTGGGATGAACATTTTTCACAATTTCTGACATTTAAGAAACAAAACTAATCTATAATTTAAAAACAATTAGATTAATACAAATCATTTCATCATCATCAAACCAACACAACCACATGAAACATTTCTAAACAGCTGCCAACAAACACATTCTGCGCAATTTTTATTGTTTTCTCTTCACTGCTGAAGATATATTTCTGCCAGAGAGTGAACCCCTTTTTATTTAAGTTTTGTGCTTGTGTGCTTTTGTTTTGGGGCTAATAGCCTCCACAGGGACGCTGGATCTCAGACAGTAAAGAAAATGTTTTTCGTTATTCATCAGCGTTCCGCCTCACAAGTCTAATAACAACTTCCATAACTCAGAAACTTCCCACAAACCTCCAGTGTTCCCCCTGTGGTATGATCATGTTTTCACACAGTCAGTCTGCCGTCAGGGACACGGCTCACTTTGATATCATGTTTCTGCTGTCAGATCATCAGGAGTTTCTGTTAGACAGCTTTCTGCAGGGTGGCCATGGTCTTTACAAAGTGTCTCCTCCTTTACTCATAGAATACCTTAAAGGTCTTACAAATGTTGTATCTTAACATTTACTTATAGAATGCCACAAATAGACTTTCATTTTCCTAACTACGCATTAGAAAGCCTTAAAAATCATTACAAATGTCTAAACTTCACATTTAAAAAGGAATGACTTTAATAGACTTTAAAAATGCCTTAACTTCACATAAACTCAACAGTTTAAAAAATGTATTTACCTTTAAAAGTCTAATCACTTTTAGTAAAATAATCACTTAAAATGTATTTGAAATGTCTTAAATGTTGCTGGTTCTTATATATTTAATGCTGTAAGCATGGTGTAACATTTACTCCAAGTTCAGAATGCCTTTGAAAGATATGTTGGGCATATTAGCCATTATTGGAGATAGAGAGGGGAGGACATGCGTAAAGGGGCTTTTTGTCCTAACGGCCCTTATTCTGTGTATTTTTGATACAGACTTTATCATACACTTATCATCATAAGAGCCTTAAAAACAAGTCACACCTGTCCAAATGATATACCATATGTGTTCAAAATGATTGAAGATTCAGAAAGCCAAAAATGACCCTAGTGAAGCACATGGCTTTACATTGCAGGATAGTGCATTGGAAACCATTTTTGAACTTATTTAACTGAAATAAGTTAAGAAACGTTTTTTCAATGGCTGTCTGTAACTTTTTATATGCAGATAAAAGTGATTAAATACCAGATTTATGCTGAAACTTTTGCATAAAACAGCTCTGCTAATTTATTCGTCTGATCATGAATCCCCATAGGCCACAGCGTCTTTTGTCGAGCGTGTTTTAACAACAAGAGCACAAAGAAAAGGGTAACACTGAGAAGAACAAGGAGAGTGCCGGAGGTTATGTTTAATGAAACAGAAAGGCATCCAGCACGTCTGAACAATAGCTGACATACTTTCCTCGTAGCTCACACAGTTTTACATTTCAGCAGAGGATTAATTACCCAGCAGCCCCTCCTCTCCAGGTGTACCTGCAGCCTCTTATTACTAAGGGAAAGTTTGATTCTGTGGAGACACAGGAAGTGACCTTTAGTGTGATTAAAGGCATGTTAGTGTGTGTGCTGGTCCACCATTCATCACTGAGATTATTTATCTTTATTGACATGCCTCTGTGTGTGTGGGTGAGAAACAAACGGTGTATAAAGGAGCTGCTTTCCTGAGACAAATGAGTGTTTGAGTTTGTTGGCTGGCTGTTTGCTTGTGTTTCTATGGAGAGCAGAGCCGGAATGAAAAACATTCGGCTGCCGGGATGCATTTTAAATTGAAATGCTTCTTGGTTCTTAAATGTCTCCATGTTGCAATAAATCATGACATTTGACTGAATGGTTCATGGTGTGGAAACATGGTGTTAAAAGACAGAAGGGTTAGAACTAGAGAAAATGACAAAAGGTAAATAAAAAACATTTTTGTAATTCTCTTGTATATTTAGGTTCCTAATATATACAGTGGGGCAAAAAAGTATTTAGTCATCCACCAATTGTGCAAGTTCTCCCACTTAAAAAGATGAGAGAGGCCTGTAACTTTCATCCAAGGTACACTTCAACTATGAGAGACAAAATGAGAAAAAAAAATCCAGAAAATTACATTTTCTGATTTTTAAAGACTTTATTTGCAAATGATGGTGGAAAATAAGTATTTGGTCAATAACAAAAGTTCATCTCAATACTTTGTTATATACCCTTTTGTTGGCAATGACAGAGGTCAAACGTTTTCTGTAAGTCTTCACAAGGTTTTCACACACTGTTGCTGGTATTTTGGCCCATTCCCCCATGTAGATCTCCTCTAGAGCAGTGATGTTTTGGGGCTGTCGCTGGGCAACACGGACTTTCAACTCCCTCCAAAGATTTTCTATGGGGTTGAGATCTGGAGACTGGCTAGGCCACTCCAGGACCTTGAAATACTTTTTACGAAAACACTCCTTCGTTGCCCGGGCGGTGTGTTTGGGATCATTGTCATGCTGAAAGACCCAGCCACGTTTCATCTTCAATGCCCTTGCTGATGGAAGGAGGTTGTCACTCAAAATCTCACGATACATGGCCCCATTCATTCTTTCCTTTACACGGATCAGTCGTCCTGGTCCCTTTGCAGAAAAACAGCCCCAAAGCATGATGTTTCCACCCCCATGTTTCACAGTAGGTATGGTGTTCTTTGGATGCAACTCAGCATTCTTTCTCCTCCAAACACGTCTAGTTGAGTTTTTACCAAAAAGTTTATTTTGGTTTCATCTGACCATATGACATTCTCCCAATCCTCTTCTGGATCATCTAAATGCTCTCTAGCAAACTTCAGACGGGCCTGGACATGTACTGGCTTAAGCAGGGGGACACGTCTGGCACTGCAGATTTGAGTCCCTGGCGGCGTAGTGTGTTACTGATGGTAGCCTTTGTTACTTTGGTCCCAGCTCTCTGCAGGTCATTGACTAGGTCCCCCCGTGTGGTTCTGGGATTTTTGCTCACCGTTCTTGTGATCATTTTGACCCCACGGGGTGAGATCTTGCGTGGAGCCCCAGATCGAGGGAGATTATCAGTGGTCTTGTATGTCTTCCTTTTTTCTAATAATTGCTCCCACAGTTGATTTCTTCACACCAAGCTGCTTACCTATTGCAGATTCAGTCTTCCCAGCCTGGTGCAGGTCTACAATTTTGTTTCTGGTGTCCTTTGACAGCTCTTTGGTCTTGGCCATAGTGGAGTTTGGAGTGTGACTGTTTGAGGTTGTGGACAGGTGTCTTTTAAACTGATAACGAGTTCAAACAGTTGCCATTAATACAGTTAACAAGTGGAGGACAGAGGAGGCTCTTAAAGAAGAAGTTACAGGTCTGTGAGA